AAATTAAATGAACATTTTAAAAAGATGAAAGTGCATAGAGAAAAATAACACAAAATAGTGAAAAAAAAGTGAAATGTTTTGTGCAGGACAGGGAGATTTGGCAAACAAAGATGACTCCAGGCAAACTTGTAAGCAATATGAATATGAAATCCTTGGTTGCATTATGCCATTCAACCTATATGCCACAGAGAACAGTGGGAGCAATATTTGTGCTTTGATTGCTCTTGACTTCCTGTTGGATTTGTTTCTTTTGAGGCTTTTGGCTGTATTCTGTAGCAATCACCAAAGACCAGTTAGCTCAGAATAGCTGCTGCAGTTTAAAACCTGTCCACACCTGTGCTTGCATTACAGAGACAGGAACACTTATTGCCACAAGCACTAGCGTTGGCCACCAAGTCTGAAGGTTTTCCTTCAGTGTTGGTTCTTGTGGCTTCTCTGAGCCTTGTGTCTAATTTGCATAGCCTTGTGCTAGTCACTGAGGGTGGGAGTTGGAAGGACAAATAGAAAGGAGTGAGGTTACCTCACAAAGATTTGGTATGAAGTGTTGACTGTGTTGGGGAGGGGAATACTGCCTATATCCAGAGCAGGGAAGAGGTGAATAGAATTCACTCGCCCTGATTCACCTAGGAATGAATTGGACATGTTCTTTTGAAAAGGATGAGGTGTTTGAGAAGATCTGGACAACTGTGTACCAAGTTGGCTGGCATTGTAGACCTGAACAACAACAATCTGAAAATACCTTGATTAGCCCTGAAGCATATTGGCCTTAGGTGGGCTATTTCTAAATGAACTATAACAACATGAAAAGGAAGCATCAGCAGAGAGTACAGCAATGGAGTATAGCTGCAGTGGGTAGAGGACCAGGGAATGCTGAGCAGGAGCGATGGATACCGGGCAGTGCCAGCTGATGCTAGGATCACTGGAAAGAGGGCTACATTTGGAGTCAGAGAGCCTTGAACCCTACTTCTGTCACTATCTACATTATATTGGGGAAGTCACTTAACTCCCAAGGCTTCATTTTCCTCATCTGTAAAATGTAGGAGTTGAACTACATGATATTAAGGTCCCTGTGATGCAGTTAACTAGAGCATAAAGGTTTCTTTGTTTCATGCATAACTGAAGGTGTTGCATTGGTGATATGGTCCCTAGCATCCTGCTGACCCTATAAAAAAAGTCTGCCAAGGCAGACTCCTACCATCTCCCACCTGGTGGATTCTCTATTCCATGTTGGCTGTATCTGCCACATTCCAGAGCCTTCTTCATGAAGAAAAAGGGAGACAAAAGAAGGCATGGCATTCAACTCCATCGAATCCACTTAACTCAGTTAAACCAGCACCAGAAACAGAACCATCAAAAAAAAAATGTATCCTGTGTTTGACAATTTTATACTTAGAAGCTAATGGAAGCTATTGTCTGATAACTCCCTTGCATGTATTGGGCCAATCATTTACATCATCCTAATATTTGAAGTTAGGATGGCTCTTGCCGGCCACCCATAAGACTTTCATTTTAGAGTAATTTTTCCAGTACTATTTAGAAAAATAATTAATTTTCCTTTAAGTTTTAATATGAGCTTATTTTTTCTTGATAATGGCTTTTAAAACCTTTATTTCCATCTTTTAATTTAAGGTTTAGTCCCTATTTACCATCCCTAACCCCACATTCCTTTCTACTATTGACCTTTGCACCAAGTTGGAGGAAGGCCATGATAGCTGTATTTCAGAGAACTAGCTGGCACTTGTCCTTGAATATTATATAAACAACCTCAGATTCCACTTGAAAAGGTCTATAACAGAAAATAAAGGTCACAGGAATGTTTTGAAATATGGAAGCAAAAAAAAGGTTATTTGTAGAGGGAGTTAAAGGAAGCAGAATACTATTTTTTTTAACATTTTACTTTCTAATTGTCTAATTTGAAAGTCAAAGTATTGTGCTTCACATATCTATGTTTTTGTTCATATGCTTCTTCAATATTTCATGGTTCCATTATCTTATCGCCATAGCTTAATTCCTCCACTGATGCAAATTGTGACCTCTCCATGACTTAATAGATGGTCTTTGAGAGTTGCAGTTGGGTAAGCTGCTTTTTGCTATCTGCTAAGTTACTCCCTACTGCCTTCTGCCAGTATTTCCAGTGAATTGCAGTCAGTGATAGCTGCTAGAATCTCAGCTCAGCTTACATTCCTGAGCCTAACTCAGACTTTTGTGTGATTCCAGACCTCAGCCGGCTGTGCTCAGCCACCAACTAGCTAGAGAAGCCCATTGGAATTTAAGTGTGTCTGTTCAATTTAAACCCTCTGCTGTTACTAAGACTATGTTAATCTAAACACATTTGAGTTGTGGTCAGGAAATTCATTTTGCCTTCTCTCATACCCTTGGTTGCCAGTCTTAGCTCCTGTAAAGTACCAGAGGACTATGGTAAAGAGATTCCCTCCAAGCCCCATCATAACCCTGCGCTGTCTGGGGTGTGTGGAAATCACATCTGAGGCTGGTAGAACTGCCAACCTTTGCTCTACAACCTCATACTCACTCACCCCCAGCAACCAATCGCCATACTTATCCCTACCAAATCACAGCACTATATGTTATATTTATGTATAGTTTATCATATATACAGGTATATGTAAATATGTACATATGTATAAATATGGTTTTAAATTTGGGATCCAAATAAGGAAGTAGAGGCAGCGTGAGGTAGGAGAGAGCTGCCCTTGAAGCCAGGAAGAACTAGTTTGAGACCTGCCTCTGATACAATAGTATTTATTTATATAGCAATTTAAGGTTTACAAATATTACCTCATTCCTGAGTAGCTAGGATAGAGTGCCCACCCTGAAGTAAGGAGGACCTAAGTTCTAATCCAACCTCAACTAGCTGTGTGTCCCTGGGCAAGTCATTCTGTTTGTCTCAATCCCTCATCTAAAAGAGCTGGAGAAGGAAATGCCAAGCCCCTACAGTATCTCTGCCAAGAAAACTCCAAATGGGGTCCCAGAGAGCTGGACATGACTAAAACAACTCGACATCAAAAATCTCTTTTCCTGGCCCTAATGAGGAAGCATGGTTTAGTGGGTAGAGAACTAGCTTTGGATTAAGAAAGAGTAAAGTTGAAGTTCGGTCTCAGACTGGTAGCAAGCTGTACAGTACCATGTAAATCACTTAACCAATGAACCAGCTAACTAAGGCCTTCCTTCAGTTGCTGATCAGATCCCAATTTGATTTGGCAGAAGGGGTTGCTCACAAGGAACCTCCATACACTGACAAAATCCCAGGCTTTGAAATTCAACATAGCAGAGGATATCAGAGGATAATGTGTTGCTCTATTATATGGCACCTTAAATGTGTACTGCAGTGTCCTTAAATCTGAGGAAATACGATTTGAGGTCTGCTCTGGTTCCTCGGGTGACTCATCAAGTCCTTCAACAATTAACCTCTCTGAGGCCAGCTATGTCTGCAAGAATCACTGACAAAAGTTATCTCTTTGGGGCAGTACCCCCCTACTTTCTATCATCAATATTGTTTTTTGAAGGCAGTGAAATATTTTTTTTATGTAGTTTGACTAGCCAGTGTGCTAAAAATGTTCCAGTTTAGCTATCTAGCCTCAGGGACCCCTGAGTGAGTCCTGGAAATCAATTCAGCAAAACAGGGTGCTTGTTCTGAAGGGAGCACTTGAACGGATGGCTGGATTTGTTTACTTACCAAGACAATCATTCCCTTCTAAAGGGATGCCCCTAGGAAGCCATGTCAAATCCACTAACTCAGCCCGGTAACACAGAGGGAAGTCTAGGGGAAAAAAACAAAGGAGGTATGAGGGATGGCTGAAAGTCCCTTTGCTTATCTTAATACAGACAAATCCAGTGCTTTCCATGAAAATGTTGTGGGTTTCTTAACAGCACAGGTGTCGTGACTTTCAAAATATTTAGGTTTCTATGTAGCCTAAACATTTTGTTTCTGCATATGCCACACATTCTGGATGAAAAGTGAAAATGGATGTTAAATAGTTCTACCTACATTTAATGCCAAGCTTCCAGCTATTTTAAAACTATTTGGATCACTGACTCAAAATTTCACTTTTCATAGACTCATGATGATGGGAATTCAAACTGATTTTCTGACTCCCAGTTAGCTTGTGAACATCCTGTGTGTCAGAATTAAAAGGAATATGATGAGTTCATCCAGTCACAATATGTACATGAATGGATGATTAAATGAATGAAAGAGAAAGCATTCATTAAGTTCTTATTATGTATCAATCACTATTCGAAGCAATGGGCATATAAATACGAAAGTGAGACAGTCCATTTCTTCAAGGAATTTGCATTCCAATAAAAGAAGGTAACACATATAATGAAGCTTCAGTGAGAAAGAAGGGGAAAGAGAAGTGTGGAGGAGATACACAGCAACATAGTTTAGATATTGCTATGAAGTGACCTGGTGGTCTAGTTCCAAAGGAAGACTAGGTGATAACTCACCTATCAGGAGCCCAGTGTCCTAGGGCATTAGACCAAATTTCAGTGGGTAGAGTAGGTGGGTTATGCACAGTACAGGTAACATGGTTTGGATATAACCAGGAGATAAAAGGTGGCCTGCTTGTAGGCAAGACAAGGTGAAAGCCCTCATCTATCAGAACAGAGTTCCAAGTGGGAGGCTCTGATAGCTGTCTTGACTTATGTCTTACCAGTGGACTCAGATGACTCTAGAGGACAGAGTGAGGCCAATGACTTTGTGAAGCTCTGCTTCACTTAAATCCAATTCACTAGTAAGTCAAGACATCACCTTTGTGATGTCATTGGTCCTCTTCGAGAATGAAGGAGGAACAACAATAACAATGAAAGCATGTCTTGGATAGAAGGAAAGATGACATTCTTTATCAGTGGCCCTTTTGCCTTGTTACCAGGAAGCTAGGGACTACTATGGCTGCAAAGAGGTAGGTCTCTTTCAAAGAGAAAGAGAGACAGAGAGAGCCTGAGTTTGCAGCCTAGTGGAAACATTCCTTTCTGATTGGTGGCAATAGAAGCCACGGCTAGAAGTGAGAATGGTGGCTAGATGGGAAAGGCAGCCAGCAGTGGTGGTAACTCCAGCAATAGCTATGCCTCTGCTGGCCTGAATGGAGTTTCAGTTAAAATTATATCATTCTTCATGTCTAGGCTTCAAAATACCCATGATTTAAGCCAGTATGGATGTTCTTCCCACTGGCATAGATGTAGTGCATTATAACATCAAGAGTCGTTAGAGCCCAAACATTGGTGGCCACGCTCCTGAGGATGAGTCTCCACACATTGGACCTAGCTAAGTTGGTTTTCTAGAGACAAACACTCCCCCAAATATTCAGTGGTTCCCTATTGCTTCTAGCATAAAATGAAAAATCTACCACCTGGTATTTAAAGCCCACAGCATGGATCCCACTTACCTTTTTATTTTTATTTCACATTTATTCCCCTTTATACGACACTGACACGCTAGATATTTTCCTGTATATGGCTTTTCATCTCATGCCTTTGCACAGGGCTCAGCCATGCCTGGAGTGATCTGAAACTTCACCTTGGCCAACATCCCTAGCTTCTCTCTTTCTTTCTTTCTTTCTTTCTTTCTTTCTTTCTTTCTTTCTTTCTTTCTTTCTTTCTTTCTTCAATTGGGGTTAAGTGACTTGCCCAGGGTCACACAGCTAGTAAGTGTCAAGTGTTAAGTCTGAGGCCGGATTTGAACTCAGGTCCTCCTGACTTCAAAGCCAGTGCTCTATCCACTGAACCACCTACCTGCCCCCCCTAGCTTCTTTCAAAACATAGTTCAGGTGCCAATTCCTCTGTGAAACCTCCTCTGATTCCTTCAGCTTTGGCTCCTCTCTTCCTCTTGATTTGCTTACCCTCTCATATATCTTGGATTCCCCTAATAGAATGTAAATTCTTCAAGCTGAGTCAAGAGCTGTATAGTTCTTTTCATTGTTGACTCATTTTTCCAACCTATTTCTTGACTTTGGACTTTATGTTAGAGTTGGCTATGCTTACTCTGCTGGGGCTGGTGGTGGAAAGGGGGAGTTAAGGAGGGGAGGTGACTGTCTCAAGCTTCAGGCTTTTATGTCCTGCTGTTTTCACAGCTTGGTCTGGGGGTCTATAAGTTTTTGATGCTTCCAAAGTCGTGGTGCAATCTGGCAGAGGTCTGGTCATTGCCTCTCTGATATTGTTTTTGTACTTGAGTCCACAGCTTGCATGGAACCTTGTACAAAGTACACACTTAGTAAATGGTTTTTTAATTTCATTGACATTTGCATGGGCTCATGTGGACCAGGATGAGACCCAACCACCATTTATACCTTTATATGAAAAACGTGTTATAAGTTCCAAACAATTGGTATATAGATAAGTTTTTGAAATATAAGTTATGTGCTTGTTGTCTGAGAAAATCTTTCCCCTAAGGTCATTATAATGAACTTAACATCTAGCTTTGTTTTTTTATTCCCTCATCCAAAGGAGAATAGGGCAGCTAGGTGGCTCAGTGGATCAAATGCTGGGCCTGAAGTCAGGAATACTCATCTTCCTGAGTTCAAATCTGGCTTTTGATATTTATTAGCTATGTGATCCTGGGCAAGTCACTTAACCCTGGTAGCCTCAGTTTCTCACCTATAAAATGAGCTAGAGAAGGAAATGGCAAATCATTACAGTATTTCTTCCAAGAAACCCCAAATGTGGTCATGAAGAGTCAGACATGACTGAAATGATTGAATAAAACAAAAGGGAGAATAAAATTTTGGCAAGACAAATTTGTCACTTTCCCCCTTCAACTTAAGTGGCATTGACTTTAGTGGAATTAGCTGAAAGTTTGCTATTCTAATCATCCTAGAAATAGGAGAAAAGTAGACAGATAGTGAAACTCACCTAGTCTTTAGGACTGGCAGCACAGCTATGGCAGAAAGTCAGGGAGGTGAGGAGTTGCATGGTGCTGGTCAGGATGTAAAGTGGGATTGAAACAGATAGTTATAGCATCCAACATAAGTCAAGAGACAAGTAAAGCCAGTAAGATTTCATATACTAAAATAAGGAGGAGATAAGGAACTAGAAGTGAAGAGCAGATTTGAGGTGAGTGAGGGAGTGAGAAAGGTAGAATTGGAATTTGTAGTCAGGGAAGAGAAAAAAAATTTCAACATTTTTCTAGGCTTGTAGATGACTTAAAGACTTGAAAGATGATAGTTGAGATGCCTGAAGACCAGGTTGTTGGAGAAGGTTACCAAAGTCTTAACTATCCTTGGTCAGTAAAGCATTCCTTTTACAAAATACAAAGCAGATTGTACTCAGAGATTATCTTCCATAAGTAATATCTTGAAAAAGATCTTCTCCTTAGATAATATTAATTTTCTATCTGGTGACAGAAGACAATGGGACTGAAAAAAAGTGCTAATCCACGATATCATTCTAGTAGGCTATTAAGCAATTGATATCAAGCAATATCAAACAATTGACTTACCACTCAGTCAAGAAGCACAGGACCTTAAAATCTATAAACCACGTATTAAAATTAAATGTTTTTAACTGTTTCTGTGTGTGCAGGAATGATAGCAACAGTGTACAAATCAAGGAAATATGGCTTTATTTCTAATCTTCTCTATCACTTAAACTAACCTTGGCTTGTGATGATAACTTATTTCCTGTCAAAGATGTCCCTGAGGATCTTCTACCAAAACAAAGATAGTGACCAGAGGGCTAGGGTTTCATTGAAGAGAATTTCCAAGGCTGCAGTTTAAAGTAGTTGAATGCCAAAATCAGGCTGCTTTAATGTTTTAATTTCAAATACCACCAATTGACTGCTTCTAACTACACAGAAAGGTTAGCTTCTAACAGGTAAGTGATATGCCTAACAGAAAACTGTTCTTCCTTCACTGAATATACTAATTTCATTTTTCTGTCAAAATTGAATAATTAATAAAAGTCATATCTCAATGACAGTAATTTGGCTTGTAGTAAGATAATTAAGCACTGAGCTACTAGATAGAATTAAATTAATAAATTATGTATAAATTTCTATTAATTTCATATCTTTGTTAACTCTCATTTATATTCAGACCATACAAAAGTTATTGATAAACATTGGACCATATGAAAAACACAGGGCATTTTTTAATGTACCTATTGACTACTGATGTCAATTTCACTAAAAATCTAGTTTCATGGAAATAATTTAGCGAATCACCTTTATAAAATCTCCAAAGAATTTAATTTTTACAAGTAATTATTTTCACTAGAAGTTTGATTTTAGCTAGTCAATAATTTTATATTTGAAACTGTTTTAAAACTTTATGGTCTCACTAATACGTTCCTAGAAAAGAAAAAGAAAAATGGTTATTGTTCTACTACCTTAGAAGCATGATTTTCTTTGTGGGGCGAGGGGGAGGGGGGCAAGACTTTTACCTATTACTTTCCAACTGCTTCATTTCCTGCTAGTGTGAAGAGTCTATATTTTACATGCAGCCTACTGTGAATAATTTAGCAATTACTAAACCCAATGTTCCATCGCATGGTGTAGAGCTTGGGATATTTTAATTTCAGAAAAGGGAAGCCCTCTGCAGGGTAGCTAGGAAATATTGAGAGGATATGGAACCCTCTAAACAGGAATGGAAAATGGAAGCCCTTATCTCTCACACATCCTTGGGAGATGTATTATGGGGTCCTATGGAATTGGAATGGAGAATTCATAGTAATTATATTTCCAAAATGTTGAAACTTTACTGGCATTTGACTCTCAGTAATACATGTAGATGAAACATGAATCTTTCTGATAACTTCAATAGCAGATAAAATTTTCATATCTGAACCACAAAAGGAGAAAACTAATCATAGGAATGATTAAAATAGTTATAGTCTATTGCTATGTTCTCCATTCTCTTCTCTGTAAAATGATAGGGTCAAGTTAGATATTGAACAGTTATGCTTACAATGCTATGTCTGCCAGGTATCTACTCAAATTCAATGAAAACTTTGGAAAACCGAAACATGGAGAGATCAGCATTTCTATATAATAGACATAACTAAAAAGGACCCTTAGAGGTCATCTAGCTCAACTCCCGTACAGAAGAGGAAAATGAGGCCTAAGGAATGAAGTGACTTGTCCATGGTCATACAGAGAGTAAACAGCAGAGCTGGCCCAGGGCGTCTGACTTAAAACCCAACATTCTTCCTGCTATAGCAACCATCCTCCCTAGCTCTAAATCTTGTAACTCATGAAGCAAGCACAGACAAGCAAGACGGTTTGAGTGTCATATGCTGAATTTGTTGTATACTTAAAAAGAAAAGCAAAACCACATAATACATAATACATGCACAATCCTTTCTGTTCTACAATGTGTGTAGAAATACTCATTTTATTTGATGCTTGCTAAATTCAGAATAAAATGAAACTAAAATTAAAAAATTTTAAGTCCTCTGATCCTCTGACCTCAAGATAAATGAAGTCTCTAGTTCGAGGGCAATGTTTTCTTCCAACCAGTCTTTATTATGTTCTCAACTAGAATTCTCTGTTAATTTTTTTATTGGCATAATTTACACTTTAAGACACTGATTACACAATGACAATTTCATTTTTCTAGATTTTTCTCTTTACAGATTTTTAAAGTATCTTTATTAAGCAGTACTTAAATATTTCAACAGTCTAAAAGGTTATTGAGTTCTTTTTTTCATATATACCACAAAAATAAACTCCAAATGATTGCATGTAGATATCATCTTTGTGGTTTATTATATGTACTTGAATATCTTCCCTGCTCATAACAGCTAGTGTTCTAATCAGGAAAATAATGAGATTGAATCAGGTGTTTTCTCATTTCCAGCTGTAATAATTAATGAATCTATGAGTCTTTTTCTTCACCTATTTCTATCCCTAATATACTTTGCTCTCCTATTTTGAGGAGAAAATACGAGCTTTTTTTTTTTTCACTTTTGTGTAATAGAGACTGCCACTGCCAACAACAAGTGTTGAAACCCTGAAGTCAAGGTCTTACTGGTGGTTAAAACTTCAAAGGTAGGACTTTTGCTACTTTGCATGATACATTCTGGTGATATTTAACCATTCGCCTTTGATCATCTACTTTTCTGTTAGTTTAAGTAAAAGTTAAAGTACTGACTCACAAGGCTTTTGTAAATGCTATGTTTGCAAAGGTGATGTATTCTCAATCAGGAAGAAGAGAGTTTTCATCATGCAGACCTCCCATTTGGAACTCTACTATAAGCCTTAGAATGGAGCAAAAGGACACAGAGCAGGGGAAACTGCTGGTAAGCAGCTTCATTCCAGGTTCTCTAAGGTCAGATCGAATTTTAGACTTTGCCTTAGGATAAGCTACCCAGGGGGCCTTGTGCCCTGACCTTGAAAATGAAGTTTGTGGGTAAAAAAAAAAAAAAAAGGAAGGCAAGCCAAGCAAGCAAGAGGTGGAGGGGAAAGACTTTGACATCAGCAAATAGGTGGAGAATAGTGGAGGCTAGAGCCAGAGCAACATCCCAGACAAACTTCATGTGCTGAATTTGGCCATCATGGACTAGAATGAACACTGTCAGGCATTGCTGCTCCCCAGTGACAGAATCCTAGAGATATAGAAGCATGGCTGTTGGTGAGACTGCTCTGCAGACTTTTCCCTGCCTTTTTGGCTATGGGACTGAGATCCATCCATTCCCTTGCTTTACAGCTAGGTGGTATTTATTTTCTTGGTATCTACTGCTGTAGATAGAGAGCCAAGCCTAGAATCAGAAAACTCACCTTCTTGAGTTCAGATCTGGCCTCAGATATTTACTAGCTATGTGACCCTGGGCAAGTCACTTAACTCTGTTTGCCTCAGCTTCCTCATCTGTCAAATAAGATGGAGAAGGAAATGGTAAACCACTTCAGTATCTTTGCCAAGAAAACCCCAAATTGGATCATGAAGAGGTGGACACTACTGAAAATGACTGAACACTACACATTTACTTATTACCTAATGAAAAAGAATCTTGTCATGCTAGAGAAGTCACCCTTGCTGCTTCTGCCTCCTCTTTACCCTCTGGCAACTTCAGACTGTGGTCAACACTTTGTAAAGCTGCTAAATTTGTAAACTGCATTATTTTAAATATTTTCTTGGTAGGCAGTATAACAACATTAAAACCTAGGTGACCATTCAAATCTATGCTCACTTGAATGCTAGTAGTGAGATTGCACTTAATTATACTTAAGGCTACTATGTTCCAGGCTCTGTGTCAGGTACTATGGATGCAAAAATAAAAATAAACAGTCCTCACCCTCTAAAAGAGTTTACATTTTATTAGCAGGGACCACCACATACACAGCAAATTAAATGAGGGATGGCATCAAGATGATAGAGTGGAGACGTATAGCCTTGCTCACCAAACCTCCTTCACAAAGATCTAGAAAATGTTCCAAATGGAATTCTGATGGGGAAATCCAAGAAAAAGTCACAGGGGATCATTTTTACAGCCCAGGGAGGCTTGTTGTTGTTCATCCTTTGTTCTCAGAGGTCCAATGACATCACAAGGGTGATGTCTTACCTTGCAAGTGAATTGGATTTAAGTGAGGCAGGGCTGTGCAAAGTCACCAGCCTCACTGTCTCCTCCAGAGTCATCTGAGTCTGGTGGCAAGACACAGGTTGGGATGACTGGAGAGGGCCCCAGATGCAGTGGGGAGACTTTGGCCTTTTTAAATCTTTCCCAGGTCTCAATTTGTCTGAGACAACACTCATTCAGTGATTTAAAGCTGGGTAAGAAATGAGGCAAAAGATGGCCTAATTTGCCTAGTCAAAACAAACAAATAAATCAATCAATCTGAGAAGGGAAGACCCTTAGGATTTCTGGTCACAACAGAAACAATTGCTATTTACACTCACCCTGAGTCACCAAAACCCAAACAATGAGCAAGTGAGGCTTGGGCTAGAACCTCCTGGCCAATCAGTGAGAGCCAGAGTGATTTAAGTTTAAGGTACAGTCAAGCAGTTCCATGTGAGTCCCAGTGGGCTTTATCAAAGCCTGATTTTCTAGAGCTCTCTTTTGAGAAATCATAAATGAACCAGACAGACGACAGACAGAGAGGTAGGAAGATATTGGGATGCAGCCTGGCCAGGAATACACAGCATGGAGCATTCCAGCACCCAGGGACTGAAAAAAAAAAAAGCCAAGACTAGGCACTAGGACAGGAAGCATGAAGCAGAAAGAGATCACAGACTATTCCTGAAGTAGCTCGGGGTGCATGAATGGGTGCTATCTGGTAGCTCTGTCACTCACTAGCCAGTTCTGAGTCACTGACCCAACATGGAGAGGAGCAGTCCCAAAGGAGCAGTGGCTAGGGTAAGGGAGGAAAGGAGAGGATGCCTTGCTCTATACAGGCCATATTCATATGGAATGAATTCTGGAAGCAAATAGTAGCTCTGATCCCAATGCAAATAAAGAACTCTCTCTAGCCTCCTCTATACTATAAAAGTCTAGAGTGGCATAACCGGGGCAGGATTACCATACCAAAGGGGAGCAAACAGTTCAATCCTCAATCTGTAGAGCCTCCCAGCAGGCAAATAGTCTCTTAGTCCAGCATTACCCTACTTAAACGCCCAACCAGACCCAGTCCCAATGTGACAGACCCAAACCTGGCTCAGGAACTTGCAGAGCTGGGACAAGGAGGCGGGAGGGAGGTCAGTGAGCAGATCTTGCCCCTGATCACATCACTTTGAGAGCACTGAGAGCTTGCAAGTCCTCAACCTGAGCTATAAAACCAGCAGAAGGATGAAATAAGCAAAATCTCAGGCCAGATATTGGCACCAGAAGTGCTGAGAGCCCAACATTAAGCATAAAGTCCAAAGTCAAGAAGTAAGCTCAAAAAAAGTAGAAAGCAAAGAAGAATTCCACCATAAAGAGCTATTATAATGACATGGGAAGCTCAAGACATAAACCCAGAAGAGAATGAATCAAAAATATCTATAAGCAAAATCTCAAGGAAAAAATTGCAGCTTAGACATAAGCCCAACCAGAATTCCTTTAACAGTTAAAGCAAGAATTTTTTAAAGAGCTAAAAAATATTTTAAAAATCTAATAAGAGTCACAGAAGAAAGATCTGGAAAGAGCTTGACATAAGAGGTACAAAATCGTACCCAAGAAAATAACTCCCTGAAAATCAGAATGGACCAAATCGAATCTGAAGGCAGCATGAGACATCAAGAAATATTAGAGTCAAAAGAGTGAAAAAAAGAAGGAAGTATGAGGTATCTTACAGAAAAATACTTATACTGAAAAAAGATATAGGAGAGAGAATTTCAGAATCATTAGAGTACCTAAAAGCCTTCCTTTTACATGAAATTCATATGGAGGTGCAAACCAAACCAAACAAAAAAACCCTTAAGAATATCAAGGGAAATAATGAAAAGAAGTAGAATGAAGAAGGCCTAGAAGTGCCAGATCTCAAACTAAACCACAAAGCAGTGATTCTCACAACAATTTGGTACTGGTTAGAAGTAAAGAGATTGAACAGGGAAGCAGATTTGTACACAACATAGAGAAGCAACTATATTTATTACTCTAGCATTCAAGAAACACAAACTCCAAATGACAGGGATAAATATTCAGTATCTGACAAAAACTGCTGGGGTAAAATTACGCTGTAATATGGAAGAAATCAGATTTACACCAACACTTCACATATTATGCTGTGGTGTAGGAAATGATGAGCTGGTTGATTTAGAAAAATATGGAAAGACTTGGGCCTATGAAGAAAGATGCTTTCTATCTTTCAGAGAAACAGATGACAGGTGGAAATAAGCATAGTATGGTCTTACATATATGTGTATGAGTGTATGTGTATATATGTATATGTTTATAGATATTTATGCAGATGTGTATATACGTGCATATATGTATATCTGAGCTCAGCTGTAGCCTTTTTTAGGGTAGGGGTGGGGAGAGAGGAGAAAAAAATAAAGTAAAAAGCACACAGCAGAGAACAAAAGAAAACCAACAAGGAAGCAAAGAAAAGCTGGACATCTTTGAAAACAATATGTAATATTTATTATATAGGTTTTCTTGAGATGGAAATTTATTGTTTTATATTGAATCCTCTTTATGGTCTGCTGGGTAATGGCATTTTTTTGTCTTTTCTCATTTTGCATTCAAAATTTTTTTAAAATGATATAAAATAGTTTTTGTACAAGTATAGTCTTGGCATCATATTTCAAGAAATGACAAAAGAAAACTGCCCAGAAAATTAAACAGAGAACAAAAAGTATTTTCCAATTGAAGAGTATTACTAAGAAACCTTTGCTCATTCTCAAAGGTGACAGGTAAATTGGTCTCAAGGTAACTAATTCTTTTTATAATCAGTAAATATAAAAGAATTGATCATAAATAAATCATAATAATTAATTCATGCCCTAGATTTCAGGAGAGCAGATTTCAAAGGGGCCAGAGAAGGGAGAATCATATGTCAAGAAATGACAAAAAAAAAAGCTGTCCAGAAAATTAAATTTCCATTATGGAAAACAATTTGTCTATAAACACAAACAGTGTAAGCTCTTTGACCCAGCTTTGCTACTGTTAGGCTTATACTTAAAATGATCAAAGTGTTCAAAGAAATAGGAACAGGATGCATATGTGCAAAAATATTTATAGCAGTTCTTTTTGGGGTAGCAGAAAAACAAACAAAATAACAAGGGGCAGCTGGGTGGTGCAGTGGGTACAACACTGGCCCTGGAATTAGGAAGACCTGAGTTCAAATCTGGCCTCGGACACATGATACTAGTGTGTGACCCTGGGCAAGTCACTCAACCCCAATTGCCTCGCCTGGGAGCGGGGGAAGGAAATTAAAGGAATGCCCATCAATTGAAGAATGGCTGAATAAGTACGGTATATGCATATGAGGGAATGCTATTTTCCTGCAAGAAATTAGGAAATAGATAATATCAAAGAGAAATAGAAAAACACAGGAACTAATGGAGAGTAAGCAGAACCAGAAGAACAATTTATACTTAATTTAAACATTAGCATTATAAAATTAACAATTTT